AGTGACTTGGTGCAAAACAGAGTAGGAAACGGAACTGAGTGGAACGGAATGGAAAGAGCCAAAACGGCAAGAAATGGGGCGGAATGGGGCGGTACGAGATGGAAAGGGACGGTCTCGTCCGAATGGGGATTCAATGGACCGAGACGGTGCGGGAAAATGTGGAGTAAGGTGGAACGGAGATGAGTATAACGAATCGGAAAGGGGCACAACGGATCGGCGCTAGACTGTGAGAAAGGAGACCGAACCACCCGGGGGAGGGGTGTACTCCGCGGGGATGAAACGCGGAGAACGGGGATGAAAGGTGGAGAGCGGCTGCTTCGTCGTGAAGCGAACGAGAAGAGCGAGCGGAGCGAGGCCAGACGGCCGGGCGGGCAGGGCAAGGCGAGCGAGTGTTCGGTGTGGGTGGTCGGGGCGGGGCGGCGGACGAAACGTCCGTCACCCAGGCAACGGGCGCCGAGCGCCGGGCGCAGTCCATACATCGTCGCACTCGCGCCGGCGCTCGCCCGCCCCCGCGCGGGGCGCATGGAGCATTCAAGTCGGCTGCGTAAATCACTGTGCGGGAGAATACTCGTTCACATCACGCGATGAATAATATTCGTCAATGCGCAGTTGCCACACGCAAAGTAGTGAATTGATTGAGTCGGTTTAAGTCGAAATATTTATGTGATGACGTTGCTGTGGACTTGCAGAATTAAAAAATGGATGCTTTATCATAAATATTAATATTTAATTCTACTTGACATCTATATGATATTTGTTGTAGCATGCTAAATTAATGATGATTCTGATATGTTTCTATTCATCTCATAACTTTTCATCATTCAATTCTTAAACTTTATTTTCTATCAAATTTATAAATTTTAAATTTTGTATGTTTTGTGAAATATTTATATTAAAATATCATTGAGACACCAGTCGCTTACATTTTCAGACCAGAGACCCTATTCTAAAATCAATAATATGGATGACTAAATAAAAAAGAATCATAAAGATGCTTGTAGCAATTACTTTTATAAAAGACATATTTAGATAAGTGCTCGCGTGAGTCCTTGTTACCCAACCCCTGATAAATTGTTGAATACAAAACTGACAGCTACGTCAGACAGCCACTTATCGCGTAAAATGCAAGTGATGTTTAAATAGAAATGAAGCTACTATGTAGTGAGATCTTATATATTCATCGATTTTTTTAAAAAATGATCATCAGACAGGAAAACTGACAAACGGGAACATGCGTCTACTGACACTGTGTGTACAAACTCGATAAGCGCTGTTCCTTGCATGAAGTCGACGTACTGGTGAAGGATCTCCTCACATCAACTGTTCGGACATAAGAAAGAATACATGAAAAGTGGCATTATCATTCTGATGAGGGAAAATTCTAAATGTGGCGCATGTGCGAATAAGTACATTCTGATTGAATTCACACTAGCGAAGTGTTTAATAATTTTGCAGACTTCCACGTTTATATTGATAGTAAAAAGTAAAATACTTAAAGCGCAACATATTATAGAGCAAATAAAATAGTTTGACAAATTTGTCAGTATTTAACTCATAAATGCATTACAACCAAAATTTGTCATCCTCTAAAATTGAAAAGACGACATTTTCAACTACTTATTTCCTTGAATAATCAAATTGATTTTATTATGAATCGTCGTGTTCTCACTATCAACCGATTACTTAACGTAGTGTATAACGCATTTTTACCCAAAAATAATTACTTCGTAAAGAATTGGTAATCGATAAGAAAAGCTTAGCACAAAACACGCAGGGAATTATTTCCAATCCGGAAGAGCTCCAAGCCCTCCTTTATGCAGCGTGCCTGGCGAAATGTTTACCTTAGTTCGCTCCGGCAGGCTGAAAAACGAGAGCCTTGGCGCAAAGATTGACAGACCCCACTCTGTTAAAAATAACCCTCACGAAAATTCAACACCTCAATAGAGTTTTCTTTAGAAACAAGGTCATTGCTGGAAGTTCAATGTGTTTCGTTATCAACTGGAACGTCAGTTAACGAACTAAATAACGAATATAACCATTAAATGTATGTTTATATTCCCTACCTACACTGTATGTATGTAAACTCTGTGGTTAGGCGAAAGAGCAGGCCCCATTGCCTGAACCTCGACATTAATAAAGGCATAATAATAATAATAATAATAATAATAATAATAATTATTAATTATAATTATTATTATTATTATTATTATTATTATTATTATTATTATTATTATTGGTGTTGTTGAAGATTCACGGCCATTAAGAATGTAGTTCTAGTACGTCCGCGTTGCAGCAACTCCGTGTGGTGTTAATTGGATCTGGGACATACTGTCGCTGAGAGATTGTAAATTTCCATGATAATTTAGTCGGGTGTGAACATCTTGTATCATTTTTAATACCATGATATTAATTTGTGTACTGTAGATTCATATTGTTCATGTCTTTATGCTTTTATTTTTTGCACTATCCTTCAGTATGGAAAAAAAAATATTTCGAAACGTCGGGAAACTAATGGTTTAAATTTTTTCTACTCACTCCGACCAAATTCATGAACTATATTCCTAATAAAAATATAACAGGACGTAAAAATACTTTTTTTTACGCAAAGACTTTTTAAAATTTCATACAGCTTAAAAAATCAAAACATTATTATTATTATTATTATTATTATTATTATTATTATTATTATTATTATTATTATTATTGTAGCCTTTGTAACTTGGTTGGTTCCCCTTATTAAATCAAATGTTTTGTAGTTCTGGTTTAAACCAACATACAATAGATATAACACACAATTATTAAAAATCACTTCACAGATAGTTCTACCAAACCTTTTCCAAAGGAGAAATTTTATTAATGCATTCAGTTTTAATGAGCATAGTGGAGGATTTGACCACTTTAATGTAGCTTACATTTTAGAATATTTAGGTGGTTGATGTTTTTAAACAGTGCAGTTCCGATGAAGAATGCCATCTTCAGAAAGCAGCTGTGAGGGGGGGGGTGGACCACACGCAGACAAATCATTCGATATCATTTAATTAGACGTCAGGTACTGGTGCGGTAATACGTAAGGTATCTTTCATTCCGAGGTAAAAGTGTGGGACTTCCCCATACACTTATCATTTTAACATTGCGTGTTCACTGTTAGGAATTTCTCACTCGTTAGTCATAACAGGTCTAGACCGGCTGACCAACACGAATGAAATGTAAAGCTGTCATTCTCGTAGAGCTAATGAGCGAAATTATTTGCACATGAAAAGGTCAACTACTATTTATTTGTTTTAACGTGCACATTGTTTTATTTTTCATCTTTTATTTAGTTTTGTCTGTTTTGCATTTTATTTTAACGTGATTTTTTAATGTAATGATAATGCGAAAACAAAACATGATTTCATGACACCTAATTACATTTTGAAGGTGTTGATTATTTAGACAATATCAGCTGTAGTTTTATGTTTAATGTCTAATAAAGTCTTCCAATACTTTTTCAATACAAATAATTTTATTCATTCAATGTCATTATTGTGCCTACGCATATTTAACCATAAATCTTTTCCTGTAAGTAAAACCGTTTTATTCCGTAAACTAACTTCTCCATTCCTTACAAGGCTTATACATTGTTTTGTTAATACAGTGAATTACGTTATTGTGAGCTCCTTCTCTTCCTCTCATATCGTAGAATTCAGAATAATATGTCCTGGCTTTGGAAAAATCACTTGGTGGTTGTTACTAATGGATGGATGTTACTAATTATATAACTGCTAATATGTTTACTGTATTTAAAAAGCGATTTGTGACTGAACTGTATTACAGAATGATTCTTGGTTGCTAGATTTTATTCCCGAAAAAAAAAACTATTAAGAAAACCGAAATAACGAAAATGATAATACTGTCACGTTCAGATGAAAAACACATGTTATAATGTCTTAACATCGAATACACACTCAAAGAAACACAAAGTACTCAGCGAAGCTCTTTTCATCTTCAAGAGAAATACAATATGCACACTAATGTTGCACAATATCCTAGAAATCAAATTAACATACAGAAAATACACCATAAATAAAACTGCACTCTGCTACACAACCTAAACACGGGCACTACTAACCTGTTTTCTGTTTCGCTTTCAATTTAATTTAATTTTCAAGCCTTTTTCTTACTATGAAGCTGAGATGAATTTAATCATTGATGCAATCAAACTTACGTTTTACAACAGTTTCCCGTTTCGAAGTTTTTATAGAGAAGAAAAAGAAACTAACCAAAAGAATCAAAGAACGAAATCCAACTATCCAAATGCGTTCTTCACTCGTTTCGAGCACGTGTTTTATCACCGCACGTTACTATCTTAGTTAATTTCTAATTAATGAAACGGTACTTACATTCCACATTAAATACGATCATATTTACCTCTTATATCACCGCGCGAAGATTCAATTTAACCTGGATATATTAAGGATTTACCAGTATTTAATAAGTTCCATAAGAAAAAACATACAATACAATACCTAATAAACAACAATGCCTAAAATTATTAATATAATTTACAAAACAATAAACATGTCAAACCCAATAATGATACAATTACATAGACTTTTCAGCTTTCCTTTCGAAATGACTGAAAACTATTCCCTCTTCTCTTTCAAATTTTTACAAATTTTACCACCACACCCCGAACTTGACTAGTTCGTCAAGAAATTCCTTTATATAGCTACGTGTTCCCCTTGCGAAACGACCTTGAGGGCCTCGCTCTTGCCGCCACATGCACTACGTTCAACGAAGGTCTCACAAAGATTTCACTTTGCTTACTGCAGTTGCCAATTTTATAACTTTTTATAATTTTAAATGACTTGAAAACTTGTAAATTTGATACACACGTTTCTAGTACAATTTTTTAGTATAGGTTCTAATAAAATTGGTTAGCATTCTAGACCCTTTCACGTGGTTAAGCTACAAATTTACAACATCTACTCTGTATTTGAAGAAAATGGGCTTTTTCTTACCTTCGATACAATTCTGGTGCGGTCTCTTGCTGGTCAAAAGTTTCTTGTCGGCGCCTCCTGTAGATTCCTCCATTGCTGCACCTCTCCTTTCACGTAACACTAACATCCAGTATAACTCTTCAGTTTCCTGTGTTGTAAGATACAGATTTTATAGCAATCCATATAATTAACATCTTAAATATTTATACATTTTTATATTGTAATCACAAGTTTCAATATTATCTATAAGAGCTCAAGAAAACATAGAATTAATTATTGCTTTCCGTTCGTCATATTATAATATCATACACCACAAACCTCGCTACATTTGTAATTAATAAATCACTGTATTCGACTTTAGGCAGACCATCGTATTTACCTCTTACTTTGAGCAGTTGCAATTCTGTTCAAACTGTGGATCGAACGCAATGTTGCGTTGCCCACCTAACTGCCGCCTTCTCCCGTGTCTTTCAGAAACTAATGAATTTCAGTTTGAAAGTTGAACGATCGAGAGTGCGCTGGCTTCTCGATTTATACCTTGAGTCAGCGGGTTATTAAAAGCAGTAGGGTAGTTTTCCGATGCAACTAATCACCGAAATATGTGCTATATCACTTTAAAAGTACTAAGAAATACAATATGAAATAATTTTCATAATGTATGAAAATCTAGTTCTTGTAAGTAACACCACATTATTGTCGGGCTTCAAAATTAATTAGACAGATAAATTAATATTTAAAGGTCATTTAATGTTTGTTTACCAAACTACTACTCTTTGGTGTACGAATATGTTGGACAAAGCGACGAGTCCGGTATTTTGAGATGAGTGAGCCAAAGGCATTTTCGTACGAGTTGCCTATTTAATTTTTTAGTACGAATTCATGGAAACTTACTAGTATATTATATTTGGATAAGTTTCAATTTGAAGATATACTGATTCTACAATCAGGTGCTTATTGTCAGTTATAGTTGAAAACTTTACCCAACATTCAAGGTCAAGCCACCTTAATTCGTGTCGCCCCAGTGTTTTGTTTACTGTACTATTTTGTTTTATAAGACCATGGCTTTTTTGTGGTACCGCAAAATAATGATTTTTAATAAATAAACAGTGAAGGCAATCACTGATTTCCATGAATAAGTGCTGAAATAATTGAATGTCTTATTTTTAAAAAGTACCACTTTATACGAGTTAATTTCAAATAGGATTTATTGAATCAGATCTCGTTTCGTCACAAGTTAATTGACTGTCGCAACAGCACATCTCAAACACAATGTCTTATATTTACTCGAATTATACATGTACCTATTTAAACCTATATTTATATTATTAATATATCTTATTTTTATAATAACGCATTTTGTTCAGATCTGGTCACATTGTACACTCCTTCTGGGTTGTTCCTGGGAACTACTATGCTATTACAAAATTAATTATGATTTAGATCTTCAAACAGAATGTGTTACCTTAGAGCAAGAAATCACAATCACACGAAGAGAACAATTAAATATGTGGTGGGATTTCACAAGCCTACCCCGAGTTTGCCGCCGCCGACTACGTCATAAAAAGTCGGTATCTTGACAATTTTAACTAAGAAAATATGTAATATGTTAATATAGTTATGTATTATATTTATTATTATTATTATTATTATTATTATTATTATTATTATTATTATTATTATTATTATCATTATTACTATCAAGAAAAACCTATGTGTCTGAGTTACATATTAGCGTTATGATTAAATTGCAGACAATGTTATTTCAGGCAAAAGGGTTCGTGTTAAAAATCAACGCTAGGAAAGAAACACAAGTAAGTCATTCTTTAAAAAGAATCTGAGATGAAAAGTCGAGATGCCGGTGGCAACGCCAAGTAGGTTTTACAGTTCGCGTGCGAAAGGCGGGCCGAACAGGCGTTAATCTGACTCCCCCACTTTCTCCTCACCCCTCCCGTCCAGCACCGGCGCTGCCACCACGCCCAATATGCACCTAGTGCTCGGTTCTCGCCCACCCGCCGCCACGCCTCACGCCCTCCTCCTCCAACTAACCTGTCTCGCGGCCAAGCCTCGTCTTCCAAAGACATTGCCTCGCCCCAGCCACGACCACCAAGCCACGCCACACCGAATCACTTCACCATTCTGCTTCTCACAGCCTACTTCCCCATACCTCCTCGCTTCCCTGTACCGGCTTAGGTGGCTCTGGGTATGATCTTATTCTACTGCAGTTTCTTACGTTGGCTCCTTGGCCCCCACGTTGGCTGGATTTTGGACACTAGAAGCTGCATACCCAAGTCGAATTCCGTCGCTGTCTGAAAGAGAATTCTTGCGACCGTTTGCTCTGATAGGTAGTTTTCCGCAGTTTCTGCGATCAACACCAGGCGAATGCCGAAACAGTACCCTAACAACCGGGCCACGGACCACGTGATTTTTCCTTCGTGTTCCTTCTTCTATACTCACCCCCTACACACACACACTTACACGTGCTACATTATCACATATGTTGGAAGACTAGTCGGGAGTTTAAATCTTGTCCTGGTTTGGTGGAAGCCACATTGGTAGGAGATACCTGGTTGAGGAAAACTCCGCAAGCTGACGGGTAGGTATGTACCGTATCTTGCCATCAGCATTTCACTAACGGGACTAATGACTTTAGCAATTCACTTAAATGAGTTCATTAACCAATCAATCAATCGCCATCCTTTGTCACTCTCACTCCCACCTCGCCATACCGCCTCACCATTTTCCCTCCCACTCCCTACTTCCCCACACCTCTTCCCCGCGGTCTCGCGTCCCAATTAGGGATACGACATCGATGTCAATGTTTTCGAAACATTGATATTTTTGTAGAAACATTAATTTTTTTGTATTGTAGAAATTTTTAAGTTTTAAGCATCGATGTATTAACATCGATGTTTGTGATCAATGTTTTTTTCTTTTCTGATGGTTTGTTTCTGAATGAAAAATATGGTCACAATATCTATAAAGTTAAAATGTGAAATAACAACTGACAGTAACACTGTTATTCATGCATTGGAACCAAAGGAACGTTGATTTCACTACGTTCATCGATCAAACTCTCTCGCTCGAGATGACCTCCATGCCCTTGTCCATGCCTTCTTCTTTTATATTCATTCCGCACATTGAGATATGGTACACAAATACGCTATGGGCGTAGGATCTGTCCGTTCTTCTCGTACCCTTATTTTGCGAATTGATAAACACGAACACTATCAAATTAAATTTTAATGCGCACGAATTTAATGTAGAAGATTACTAATCCAGTATAAAAACATCGACGTTGAAAAACATAATTGGTTTTAATCTGTGTGTTTTTAACATTGATGTTTTAATAATGAACAACAATGATTGCTGACATCGACGGTTTGTTATCGATGTCACATCAATGTCACTCCCAATCATGGCCCACTCACCTCCGCACGTCCTTCTGCTCTTACCTTCTCCCCACACCCTCTCGTCGCTCCCCTCCCTCCACCCAGCGTACAGCTTACCATTCCTATTGCAGCATCACCCGAGCCTCACACGACAACCCGTCTGCTCGGCGCCCACAATTCCAATGCACCACACCCACTATGCTGCCCCACTCGCCCCTCCACCAACACCACTTTATCACCCGCCTCAAGGTCCATCACAAAACAATACAACTTCCACACGCATCATCGCTTTCATTCGCTGCACCCTGTCACGTACTTGTCGCGTTCCCTACACTCCACGCCACGCCCCGTCATCAAGACGCGCCGGATCGACTTGCCATCCTACCGAGTCGTCTTCCGGCATCCCCGGCTCCCGTCCCTGCCCCCTAAGGGCTAGGACATTCGTCTCCTCGTCATTTCATTTTTCTACGCGACTCGTCTTCTCGCGCCAGACCTTGTCTCCGTTGCATGGTCTGCTTCTCCGTTCCCATCGTCCGTCAGGCGTCCCGTCCCCATGTCCGTAGCGTCCCGTCAAGGTTGCCCCGACAGCTGCCCGACACCCGCTGCCCGACACGCTGCCCGACACGCTGCCCGACACGCTGCCCGACACCGCTGCCCGACACGCTCCGACACCTGCCACACGCGCCCACACGCTCCCGACACGCTGCCCGACACGCTGCCCACACACGCTGCCCGACACCGCTGCCCGACCACGCTGCCCGACACGCTCCCAAACGCCGCCCAACGCCGCCCGACACGCCGCCCGACAGCGCCGCCGACACGCCGCCCGACACGCCGCCCGACACGCCCCTGACACGCGCCCGTCACTCGCCCGACACGCTGCCCGACACGCTGCCCGACACGCTGCCCGACACGCCCCGACACGCGCCGCCCGACCAACGCCGCCCGACACGCCGCCCGACACGCCGCCCGACACGCCGCCCGGACACGCCGCCCCGAACACGCCGCCCGAACACGCCGCCCGACACGCCGCCCGACACGCCGCCCGACTACGCCGCCCGACACGCGCCCGCACGCCGCCGCACGCTGCCCGACACGCGCCCGACACGCTGCCCGACACGCTGCCCGACACCTGCCCGACACGCTGCCCGACACGCTGCCGGACACGCTCCGACACGCTGCCCGACACGCTGCCCGACACGCTGCCCGACACGCCGCGCCGCCCACACGCCCCGACACGCCGCCCGACACGCCGCCCGACACGCCGCCCGACCACGCCGCCCGACACGCGCCCGACACGCTGCCGCCCTCCGACACCGCCCCGACACGCTGCCCACACGCTGCCCGACACGCGCCCGACACGCCGCCGACACCGCCGCCGACAGCCGCCCGACACGCCTCCCGACACGCCGCCCGACACGCCGCCCGACACGCCGCCCGCTCACGCCGCCCGACACGCCGACCCGAGACACGCCGCCCGACACCCTTGCCCGACACCTGCCCGATCAGCTTCCCCACGCTGCCGCGACACCTGCCCGACACGCTGGCCCGACACGGCGCCCCGACCACGCCGCCCGACACAGGCCGCCGAACGCCGCACGCCGCCCGACACTGCCCGCTCCGACACGCCGCCCGACCACGCCGCCCCGACCACCGCCCGAGCGACGCCGCCCGACACGCCGCCCGCACGCCGACACCTGCCCGACACGCCTGCCCGACACGCGCCCGAGACACGCCGCCCGACACCGCCGCTTCCGGA